GCTCTTATGGCTTGGCAGTTCCTTTTGATTTGTGTTCACAAATCTAAATCGTAATTTCAAAAGATGAAAGTATTAGTGTTCTATTTATAATATCTATTATTAATAATCTTTTATTAACGTTTTCAGATGAGTTAGCGTATGGAGTTGTTTCGTAGATCGGGGAGGTTTGATTTCTAACGTTGCAGGTATTCGTCTCCTATATCTGTCAACGCCGCCGCGATAAACAGTCTAAAGGTATGTACGAATTTGACCCCCAACAGCTCTTTACGAGCTGAGGCCTATCAAGTGCGGCCGTAGGTTAAGGAGTTATGTGTGGTTCGCACATAGCCATCCTTACACCGTATCCATGCCTCTTCCTCCTGAGAAGGAGATTTTTCATCATCACGCAGCAAACATATACGGGGACACTTGCAAGGAAGCTCCCATATTTAATTTGTGCGGTCGCGAAGAGAACTCGAACCCAGGGTTGCGTGTCAAGGGAAACAAGCACGCTATCCACGACAGCTCGTATTGGGTTGCGTCCCAAACAGTTTAAAAGATAGGCTTCTCTTAATGATCGTTTTGAATATTCCTCAATTCCATATGGATGACTTGAATGAATGCCGCATAGTACCTTGAACAAAGCACCACGGACCTTACTAGTTTTATCGTTCCACATTATCTTCACTTGCCGTTCTTGAACAAAAAGAAGAAATACGCTCAGCTGCTTTCATTGACATCAGTCAAGTCTTCGACAAGAAGTTTGGCATTTGGGACTTAACTCCTTAATTAGATAAAATACGTCGACTATCAAATGATACATAATTCACAGCTCCTATCTGGACAAACAGATCTTTTCAAGTAAAGTTTCATTAACTGAACTATCTTCATTTCGTGGACATGTCCTCGCTGGCGCCGATCTGTATTAACTATTACCACTGACCTACCATAACACGACGGCATCAGGAAACGCAACCTACGCAGTTGAAACAGCAGAACTGGTTACCAACAACGATCCTGTTGAAGGCATCCAACATCCTAGAAACTCAATCTGAAATGAAATTCCACGTGGTTTAAAAAATGTGATTTCACCAAATGAACCCAAATCTTGCACACATAACCTTCACTCTAAAACACATACTTTGTCCCTCCGTATGACAAGCGAATGACAAACAATTACCACAAACTGAAATAGTTAAATATCTTGCGTCTACTTGAAACAAAGATTAACCTGGAGAACCCACATCATCATAACGGCAAGGGGCTGGAGCAGAAACTTTGAAAAACTCTATGGATTGATCGGCAGAAAATCATCTCGTCTCTCTGGCAATAAAACAGGCCTCTGCATTCTTACCTTTACAAGGCGATTTAAAAACCAGTTTGGACTTACGGATTGCACTTTGGAAAGAGCTAGTCATTCTAATATGAAATCTACAAGATTATTAATCAAAGTTCTACGATACATAACTAATGCAATCTAATATAATTGCTACATTCTGCAATGCAGATTCCAACTATCATACATTACAGGAATACAAGCTCATATATGAGACAGACTCAAAAAAAGCCATCCAAATGTAGGTTGCGTTGAACATCGTGCGACAACAGTTGAAGACATTAAGAAGATTAAAACGACCCCTATACTCAGATCATAGCGTACAAAAATTGCATAATCATGTAATTCACTGGTCTAAGTTAAATATTCAATTTGTATCGAGAAGTTGCTGTCACAGGACAACTCTTCACTCAACAATTAATGTATTCATTAATAATTCCACCAAATGTTTCATGTAGGACAATGAGAATAAGCAGTTAATTATAAAAAAAACTATAAAAACTTCCGGTTGTGACTGGTTCAGGGCGATGAGCTGATACCCAGTTTACAATGACTCATCCTCAATGCTCTAGAAAGTTCTCGGTAATACGCGAGTACGCGGTTGTCAGACCCGTGACCGATGCAAATTTGATTGATCAATTGACGCGAGTAATGATTTCGGGCACGTCCAACTACTAAGGTCATTGCTCAACTTGCTGCGTCAACTGCTGAGGTCACATCCTGCAAGTGTAGCGCCACATTTTTTATCGCAGGATGTGATTAAAACAGCATCCTGCCCGCCGCCTATTCTCCCCAACCAGGTATCTCGCACTAGCGGGAGAGCTATAAGCTACCGTCTGTTCTCCCAGTACGTTGGGTAGTTAATGCATGCAAGTGTAAGCGTATGTAAGTAGGGGTAGGGAAAGGGTAAGGAAGAGGAAGGAAATATCGCACGAGGTCCGTGGCCCGCATGTTAGGGTACTGGCTCCGTCATTCGCGTGCTAATGAAAAACGTGCCCCACCGCAGGTACAACGCCTGCGGAGAAAAGATTCTTATTGTTTCGCAACCTTCACATCGCCTCCTTGAAAACACTCCTTCTGCCCCTCCACTTTCCCTGCTGTCCTGAACTGTGTAGGACATCGCGCCGTTAGCCCGGGGAGAGTGTGGCGGCACTTGGAGCCGCCGTCAAGAAGGCGACCAAAGTGCCAGGACAACTCGCCACTCGCCTTCTTGAACCGCGTGGCGCGGGCGAACGCATCCGTCGCCGACTCGCCTTTTGTGCGCGAGCAACTCATCAAGTGGCGAATGCACTGACTCGCCTTCTAGAGAAGGTTTTGCAATCTTCGTTTTTTACCTCGAGGTTTACTGCTTCAACGGATAACGGAGACAATATGGGTTGTGAAGGTTTCTGTTTCTTATAAAATATATGTATTCGGAATGAAGTTTTATGTCATACATAAGAATTGTATTAAATGACCTTACACATTTTAGCGGTTTTTACATATATAAATACAAAGTATATATACGTATTCAAACAATGCCTACATTGTAGTTTAAATATATGAGGATAGGTGTGTTATAATGACAAGAAAAACCTGTTTGCTATTTGCGTTGGAGTAATATTATAAAGGCTTCTATGATTTGTTTTGTTCAGAAGTTGAAGTGATACGAAAATAATAGTATTCACTTTAAATTGAGTTTGTCTTGAAAACAACTTTGGACATAATCTCAAATGACTTCTTGCCACATGCTTTGATAAATATCTTGGTTTATATCCGTGAGAATCATTTATTGATGGCTTTATACATTAACATTCTAAAAATGAAAATATTTTCGCGAAACTATCCCCTTCAGTGAATAATTTTATCATGAATGAAAATACTTTTCAATTTGATACATTTGTATAATGAAAAAAAATAGGTTTTCTTTGATCAAATTGCAGTGAGTAGTCACTAGGCAGTGCCACCTGTTTCAAGAGAGCACTGAGTTTTCTACGTTCAGATCGGTTGGATTTAGCCCTATATGGAACTGTTGTCTACATCTTTTCCAAAAATCATGCATTAATTATTTAGTTTATTAAATAATGTCAAGATCCGCGTAGGAATTGGAACTCCATTGCGGGAAACGAGTATAAACATATTTTTTATGGTTATTACGAGAAAATCACCGGATCCACTTCTGACCCCACATTCCTGCACTCGGAGGATTACCTCCCCGGCGCGAAGTCGGGCGTTACTGTCCAGCCGGCAACGGTGTGCTGTCAAGCGTAGCTCACGTGGCGGCGAAGAGGAGGCGGGGCGTGATAAGCCTTGGCGTTGCCAGCGTTGTTTCAGGTGAAGCTCTCGCAGGGAAAGGTCGTGAGCGGCGCGGCCCGGCGGGCGGCAGCGGAGGCGGAGCCGGTTGGTCAGCGGAGAGCGGACGTGCCGCAGCGTCGAGGCCCCGCCCGTCCCGCAGCCAAGCCTTGTGCCGCCCCACCGCGCGGCAAGCCGCCCGCGTCGCTCCGGCTCGGCGCCTCGAACCCTGCGACGCCCCGCCAGCCGCCGCTCGAAGCACGCGCTTCCGGGCCCTGCACCGCACGCGGCGGCAGCGCCTGCCCCCGACGGCCTGGAGCGTTTTGGCTCAACAACTGCCTGCAGCCATTCAACGGATCGTGCGGTTGTTAATTCTGAAAATCCGGGAATTTGGAGAGGTCGTGGAGCAAAATTTTGGGATCCAGCAGAGAGAAGACCTGAAGGAACACATCCAGCAAATGTTGACAACTACTTAGCAATTATATCCAAGAACTGTGATTACTG